AAGGTTTTCAATTCGTTTCCCACATGCTGGAAGTTCTGGGTTTTTACTCAGGATCACTTCAGTTAACCTGATGTTTATCACCAGTACAGGGTACAGACCAGACCCAGAATAGAGTTTCTGCCATGTATAGATAGATTCACCGAAGTCAGCAGCCATACACAGAGAGGCCAGACTGCACCAACAGCAGAAAGGCGATGCAGTGTGCTCACAGCATGGCACAGCCTCATCCAGTCATGCCTGGGGCAGCTTCCACTTTACCCAGAAATGTTCCCAGGACTACTGCTTGCCTCCTCTCATCCCAGGGACCCGATGAGAAGAGACTTGGACTTTAGAGAAGACAAGGCCTCAGGAAGGAGATGAACCCAAGCACCAGGCTCTTGCCTGATTGCAAAGCAAGTTTTCCTCCTCCTCCTAGACCTGCTCCCTCATCTCGATAAACTCCCCTGCCACCTCCTGCCCACGCCTCACCATAGGAGCTTAATCCCTGCTGAAGCAGGAGGACTTGGAGAAGCTTTCTTGGAGAGATGTTAAGGCAGCCACAATATAAAAGGATTTGTAGGCATGTAGAGTTATATGCTTGGTAAACCCTGGAAAGCTCTAATTTTTATAGCTTGAAACCTGCTTTGGACTTTATTCTTTGGTGTATTGAGATGACATGATGAGTTGGTCCTTACATTTGTAACGTTCTTATAATAGTGACCCAGTTGCATTATTGTTCAAAGCAGTATCTTAGCTTTCTTGACAGCAGAGATCCAAGACAATGAGGTTAAAAAAAAAATTGTAAGACATTTAAATTACCACCAAAAAAATCATTTTATGGAATTTTAGATGATAAGAAAACCAATCTAGACTCTCCCTCAATGCAAGAAGCTCTAATTTTTACGTGCAGTGGGCTTCAGCATGTCCCAACTACACTTGGACAGTTTCAGGAGTGGGGATCACAACTACTTATTCCCTTGCATTGACAGACATTTTTCTGTCTTACTTTCCTTGAGTCAGAATCTGACGATAAATTATCATTAGTCTTTGTTTCCCCTCCACAATTGCAAAGAGGAAGTTAGTTTACTCGTCAAATACATGTTGTTAGTTATCATATATCTCTGAATTCTTGTCTTCCCTAGTGTAGACATTCTATAGTTCTCCCAAATGTTTCTGTTCTCCTAGGAAGAAGTATCAGCATCCCCTCCTCTCCAAGCCTCCTCCAAGCTAATCTCATCATTGTTGTCCTTGGCACCTCCTTTTTCCCTTTCTAGGAACTGCGCTTCATCTCCTGGTTTCCCTTAGCTTCAGCCCAGAAATACGCCCATTCTACTCTCTATTCAACATTGTTTACCTGCTCCAAGAGAGAGTCTCATCTCCCAATTTCCTGTCACCATCAAATTTATGGAAAGAGTCCTGCATGGTCATTGCCCCCAGTTTGTTCTCACTCCTTGTGGCAATTTATCCTGCCTTCTTTCTCCTCAGCTCTCTAGGAATCTACCTTTGAAGGATAGTAATGTCTTCGAAATGACCTTGCATCAGTCTGTAGGCTTCTCTACCCTCTGTAGCATATAATATTGATGCTGCTCCTCCTTCTGCCTTGACATCTTCTTTAGACTCCCAGATGCAGCGGTCTCGGTCTCCTGGTTATCTTCCTACTTCCTTAAATAACCTTGTCTATCATTTCCTCTTTTATTCTTTGGCCTCTATAAAAACAAAACAAGCCGGGCGCGGTGGCTCAAGCCTGTAATCCCAGCACTTTGGGAGGCCGAGGCGGGTGGATCACGAAGTCGAGAGATCGAGACCATCCTGGTCAACATGGTGAAACTCCGTCTCTACTAAAAATACAAAAATTAGCTGGGCATGGTGGCGTGTGCCTGTAATCCCAGCTACTCAGGAGGCTGAGGCAGGAGAATTGCCTGAACCCGGGAGGCGGAGGTGGCGGTGAGCCGAGATCGTGCCATTGCACTCCAGCCTGGGTAACAAGAGCGAAACTCCGTCTCAAAAAAAAAAAAAAAAAAAAACAACAACAACAACAAAAAACAACCTTCCTTAAGATAGTATCCTTAGACCACTTTTCTTTTCACTGTCTCCTCCTCCATGGCAAATTTACCTGATTTTATGGTTTTATTTATTATTATTCTAACAGAGAAAACCTTGAACCTCCAACTCAACCAGGACTTATCTCTATAGTTCCATTTCAAGCTCCTGCTGAACATCTACATTTGAATATCCACATGCCACTTCAAACTCATGATATCACAAACTTAATTTCTTCCCAAAGCTGTTTGTTCTCTGGAATTCCTAATTTTGTTGAGGACATTACCTTAACCTCAGTCAGCCAAGTTCTAGATCTACAAGTCACTTGGAAGTTCTCTTTTCTCCACAATTTCCATCTGCTTTCTTTCTAGAGAGTCTCTTGCATTTGCCCCCTCCTGTCTACTTCCATTATCTCGGTTTTTTTTTTTTTTTTTTTTTTTTTTTTTTTTTTGAGACAGAGTCCCACTCTGTCGCCCAGCCTGGAGTGCAGTTGTGTGATCTCAACTCACTGCAACCTCTGCCTACCAGTTCAAGTGATTCTCGTGCCTCAGCCTCTTGAGTAGCTGGGACTACAGGAGTGCACCACCATGCCTGGCTTTGTTTTTGTTTGTTTGTTTTCTTTTTGAGACAGAGTCTGACTTCATTGCCCAGGCTGGAGTGCAGTGGTACGGTCTTGATTCACTGCAACCTCCACGTCCTGGGTTCAAGTGGTTCTCCTGTCTTAGCCTCCCCAATACCTGGGATTACAGGCACCTGCCACCACACCCAGCTAATTTTTTGTATTTTTAGTAGAGACAAGGTCTCACCATGCTGATCAGGCTGATCTTGAACTCGGCCTCATGATCCTAGTAGAGACAGGGTTTCACCATGTTGGCCATGCTGGTCTTGAATTCTTGATCTCAAGTGATTCACCCACCTTGGCCTCGCAAAGTGCTGGGATTACAGGCATGAGCCATCGTGCCTTGCCTGGCCATCCCTTCTTAATTTAGGCCCTTTTAACCTCTTGCTGAACTGTCTTGATAGTACAATTGGCATATTCATTTCCCACTTTCAACCTACCACATCTACGCCTGCCAGATTGTGGTAGAGTTGAATCTTACTGAAGTATAAGTATTGAACTATGTGAGTCATTGTTTATGAAGAAAATCTCATACAATCAACATTATCCTTGAAAATGCCTTATACTGTCTATAAAATAGAATCTACAGACATACTGCTTCTCAGTAATTCAACACTGCTAATTTTTCCTGCACTTTTGGAACAGATTACTTTTCTTTTGGTTGAACACCAGATGAAGTCATCTGCCTGGTTTTAGGGGTGGTGTCGTATGAAAAATATGTATCTTTAAACACCAGAATCACATTCAACACTAGTCGATTTGAGTTCATATTAGTTACTCATGATTGTGATCCAAATCTACTGGAATACCTAAAAGCCCAGCTCTGATCGTCATTATTTCTATGCTAAAAAACCATTTAGTGACTCCACTGCCTCCTGAGAAGGCCCATTTCTTTAATATGGCACTTAAAGCTGTTCGCTATCTGATGTCAACCCTCCTTTCCCAGCCAGCTTATGCTCCAGAATGGAATGCCTGGGATTCCCCATGCCCGCTTTGCACATTCCAGTCTCCATCCACTTTCTCTCACAATGGCCTTGAATGCTTTCCCCTTACTTCCCATCTCTGCTGGGCTCAGCCACTCTTCACAGGTCCACTCACATGCTGTCTCCTCTAAGACTCTTCAGAGTCTTGTGCCCTCACCCAGCCTGGCCAAAATCATATTTCCCTCCTCTGAACTGCAGTAGCTCTCATTTGTACTGTGTTTATGGCAAGTGTCATTTTCTACCTAGAATTGTCATTTCTGTTCATGTTTTACAAGACTAGAAACACCTTCAGGGCGGGGGCAGTGCTTGAGACTTCTTCACAGTTATGCATACACCACCATTTCCAGCTTCAATCACGCAGTACTCAACAGATTTCAATGAAAAAATAAATAAAATAATATAGCTTCCCATCTCCTCCCCATGCAGAATGTGCTCTAGTTTGGCAGTGTCCAAGAACGTGGGACCCAGTACTCTAGAAAGAGCAGCAAACTCTTCCTAATGCCAGCAGTGCTTCCATCAGGCAATGAATAAACTCACCAGGAATGGGGATGGGTAAAACATTATATGTAAATAGTTGCACTCTGCTCCTTCTTAAAGAGCAAAATAAACACGATTTTTAAAAAAGATAATGGAAGTTAACAATGCAATGGCCTTTTCACAGAAGGCTTCAGGAAATGCCAAGTTCTGTTATTGGGGATGGAGACATTTTGTTCCCATTGTGTAGAAAGAGACTGATGAGGTCTCTTAAGCAATCTCACAGACTTACTGTTTTGAAGCATGAGAACATTTTTCTGTGAATCTCAGATTCAGTGGAACTTTAACTTTGTGGCGAGAAAAATCCTAGTTTCCCTCTTGCCCTGTCTCTCACCCAGTAAACACAGGATGTTTTACCTCGGGAACTCAAAGCTGCAGGGGAGCTCAGATCTCAACGGCCGACTCCAGGGTAGAACAGCCCCTTGAATCTTTTCTGAATCATACTCTACACTCCATAAACACAAATCTACCTCCGCTCAAATGAGCAGGAAGATTTTTAAGGAAGGTCTGGGAGTTGGGGAGGATTTAAATGTGAGCCTATTTGACATTTTTCAAGGGATGGGGTCTCTATCTTCATTATGGACATGCAAAAAATGCACTCTGCCCCGGTGACAGACAGAGGGAGCTTGACAGTGAATTTACACCCATAGTGTTGACTTTAGACTGATCAGGGAAAATGATTGCCCTGCACCCTTGTAAAATCTTAATGTTCCGTGAGAAGTGCACCGCACTGTCTGATGTACAGTGTTTAGGTTTGTCTTGACATTAAATCATGGAAAGCGGCTCCTCTGAGTGAAGTGTGTATTTTTTTTTCTTTTTTTTTAATTTCCTGCACGATTACTCAGGTGGCTTTTCCTGTTTCTTCTCCCCCTCCTGGACTCGGGTCCTTAATTACTATTGCAGAGAACTGGAAGGATGCCTGCTCTCCCTGCACGGTCTTCTCTGCTCGGCCTCCAGGCTCCGCCCCCGCCTTTTCTCCCTGTAGCCCCGCCTCCTCCGCGCACCCCGTGGCCAGCAGCTAGACAGCTGTGTTCAATCAGAAACCACTTACAACTCCAGACGATTCAAAGGGGAAACTTCGGCGTGAAGTGCAGCTCCGCTCCGGCTCCCTCCAGCTTTCTTTCCTTCCCTGGAATCCGAGGCGCGGATCTTCCTCGCCCCACCGCCCTAGTTTTTCCCCCAGCTCGCCGGTGCCCTCTAGGGTGTCCGCTCGTACTTGGAGGTGCCCTCCAGCCCGGTAATGGGGGGCAGTGAGGCACCGTAGGAGTGGCGAGGCGGCGCCCAGGGTGGCACTGCCCCGGAACGGGGCGCTGGGTGCGCGCGGGCGGGTCCCCGCGCGGGCTCCGCCGCTGCCGCAGCTGCGAGCGCGCCACGCCACCGAGCCTCCTGCAGCAATGGCTCGTCCGTGAAACGCGAGCCACGGCTGCTCCTTTTAGGAGTGCCTGCATCCTCCGTTTGGGCTTCGCAACTGTCCTGGGTGAAAATGGCTGTCTAGACTAAAATGTGGCAGAAGGGACCAAGCAGTGGATATTGAGCCTGTGTAACCAACTCTTAAGCTCCGAGACCTGGGGGACTGAGAGCCCTGCTCTGAAAAGTGCATCATGAATTCTGGAGTTGCCATGAAATACGGAAACGACTCCTCGGCCGAGCTGAGTGAGGTAAGAAGAAACAGCTGAGGTCGGGAGCGAGGATTTCTCGGGCATTTGCTCTTCCACAAATCCCCCTCCTCTCGACCTCCCCACAGCCCGGCACCCCATCCCCCTGTGCTCCCAGTCTGGAGACAGCGCAATTGAAGATTAATAGATTTTCTGATTCTCGTTTCAACTTGTAGTGCTACTCAGGAAATGACCTGAACTGGCTTGATATTTCAGTCTGAAATGAGTGGCTTAAAAAAGAAACAACCTCTCACCAAGCCGCGAGGCGTTTTACTCGCGACAGTCTGCATTCCCCTGTTCCTTCCCACCCGCTTCCACTAATTTATATACACCATTTTATTTGCCTGGTCGGTAAAATACACGGACATTCCAGCTGAATTTAAGCCGACAGTAACTACTTCGGTGGGGCTGCGGTGGTGGTGGTGAGGAGGACTCATTGGATTATTTCATCTCCCACTTGGCTCCCACGTGCGACGCGTTTGGTTAAGCTCGGGCAAGGTGGTCTCTTCCCTCGGGGAAGATGAATGACCCGCGCTGGGGAGGGGTCTGGGGAGGAAAGACTTCAAAGCCACTTTAGAACTTTATTTCCTGCCGGGGTCTGGACTCCTGAGTCTTTGAGGCAAGCGCATTTGCAATTCCTGGGCTCCCACTGTAACCTACCCTCTTGAGTGTTAGAGACCAGCTTTGAAATTAAAGCTACATCAAACACTATGCAAATATGTGAGCGGTAAGATGCTCAAAGCCACCTTTTTTTTTTTTTTCATGACTTTAGGGATGCCTCGGGCACACCCCCAAAGCTTTGAATACCTGAAAAGTGGTGCTGAGAAGCCGGTAGAACTGAGTGCTCAAAAGAAAAGGAAGTCTGTGTGTTTAGCGTCTACAGCTCAAGGCTTGGTGTCTGTGGGTTTCCCTGCTGGTGCCATCACTGAGCCATTTATGGGCAGAAGTAGCCTAAGTAGTCTGTGTTTCTTGAGTATGGCTGAAGAGAGGAAAACAGTGTAAAAGCAGCCGGAAGGCAGATAATGGTGATGTCGGATTACCAATGGTGAAGCGAAAAATGAAAGGATGGAGCCCTTGGGGGCGTGTGGGGGGTGGGGGGCGGGGGAAGGAACCTGGTGATGGGAAAGAGGGGGAATTAAATGGGCTTGGGGGAAACCCACGAGGTCTGCCATCGGGCTGGAGTGCTGTTGGGCCCCGCCTGGTGCTTTAAGTGTAATGGTGCTGTGCCGTTCTGCTCCGGTTTGAAATAGCATTTTGAGGTGTTGGCTGAATGAAGTAGAGCATTTCCTAATCCTTATGGCTGTTGCGCCTGGGATGTAGAAGGCTCAAGAAATGCTAAGAGTGAGAACTTACTTAAAAATGGGAGGTGAGGGAGGAGGCATGAGGACTTAGCGGCTTTTGCCAATTTTATATTTAGAGAACAGTCTCGAATCTGAACCAGAACTCAGAGCCCTGCTCCATCACTAACACTTTCAGGAGAAGCCTTTGGTGATATTCTAAGGTCACTGAAAACCCCAAAACTGAAGGCATTTCTCTCGCAGACTCTTTGCCAGGCCCTTTACAATGTTTTTCAATGCAGCAGAGTGAAGTGTGCTGTCCAGTAACCTTCGTTTAAATGAATCACAGACTTAGGAGGAGGGGGGTGAGAACCCAGAGTGAAGGAAGAGGAGATGGGGATTGACTTTAGTCCTATTGGCTCATCCTTGAGCACATTGGGTGAGCAGAGAATATGATACTCAGGTGCCATGTAAAATTATCCATTTCTTGCCTAGTTGTATCCACTCCTTAAATAATCCTCATAAAGCTTGTAGGTAAATGAAAGAGTTGAGAGTGCTTTGTGGTCCCTGCGTTGGTCAGAAAAATATTTGAGCAGTATATGACATAGTATTGTTCCTAAGGATATTAAGTTCCTTCCTCTACTATACCCTTTACCAAATGTTCTTTTTTTTTTTTCTTGTCGTCAGTGTCTGCTCATTCATTTTTTGCTTTCTTTTGAGCCAGTTTTAGGTTCCATGATTTAGTTTTACCCCTTTCCAATCAATCTTAGTTATCTTGCCGGTTGAATAGTTGCAGTAGTCTGTAATGGTAGCTATTTGTACTCTTTGTACATATTTTTTTATTTTACTTTTTTTGAGACAGAATCTCACTTTGTCACCCATGCTGGAGTGCAGTGGCGTGATCTTGGCTCACTGCAACCTCTGCTTCCTAGGTTCAAGTGATTCTCATAGATCAGACTCCCGAGTAGCTGAGATTACAGGCATATGCCATCGTGCCCAGATAATTTTTAGTGTAAATGAGGTTTCGCTGTGTTGGCCAGGCTGGTCTCGAACTCCTGGCCTTAAGGGATCCGCCCACCTCAGCGTATACATATTTTAAATTAGAATATGTGTAAAGATGATATGTAAGGCAAGAGGGAGAGTGTGGTTCATACTTTGTGAACCCTAAATCTCTGTTCAATTTAACATAGGCATTAACTTTAGTATTTATCAGTTTTCTAACATCCACAGAGCAGTATCCATAGATTCAAATACAGTTTGATTGTATTTCTCACATTAGATCTTTGGTGTAGAGTTTCTTTTCCCTGTCATTTTCCTCTTAAACACTCGTTTTCCCTTAATATCTTGCAGGGCAAACTTGCCATTCACTTTTGATAGTTAAGTCCTCCTCCTCACCTGGAAGCAGAACTAATAAAACCCCTCAGGGCCCCTTTAGTGCCATCTCTCTGATTGCCCAGGAGCCTCAATGCTGTCTGGAGGTCGCTGTAGGGTCAGATTCAGCCTGATGTTCACCAGGCATTTCAGGGGCAGGAAGAACTCTGAACAAAAACCTGCCATTATCCTGGGTATCATAAACAAAATGCCTCTCATTGGTGTTTACTTGTGTGCTTATCCCTTCTGTAAGGGACCCCTCACCACAGGAGTCATTGACTCTTTGACAGTAATGTTGACGCTGACTCTGTAACATCCTGGACTAAAAAGAGAGTGAGTTTAATCAATTTCAGTTTATAATCTGCTGATCCCGTTAGTGAGAGCAGCAAGCTTTGGTCAGCTACTGAGGTGTTAGCCTCTACACCTAGTACTCCAGGAATGCTTGGATACTGGGGAGGTCAGAGGGATTTGGGTATGAGGGATATGCAATTAGGAGACCTAGAGCTGGGTGTTGGGCATGAGGTGTTTTGCATGTGTGAGTACTTCAAGATGGAAAACAGGAAATTCATGAGTGTGTTCCTTTTGTGTCTTTAGTTTGGACAGTAGCCATTTAAGATCCTGTGAGTTGGAGATAGTAAAATTGCAACCATGAACATTCAAACATATTTTATGTATTTATTGACCATAAATGACTTATGTCAAGTCTGAACCTTTTTTGGAAAGCAAAGGAATCTATAGCAGAAACAACAGAAACACAAAAGGAAAATTTTAGAAGGATTAGTGATTTGTTCTTTTTTCTTGGCGATTGCTGTTTCTGTCTTCTTAAATATGATATTAAGGAAGGACTTTGGTCAACATCAGACAAATCAAAAGCATTTTAAAAATTAAATGTTTGAAATTCAACCTCCCTCCCCCATGATCAGGAAGCTGAATGGCCACACTTTCAGCAGCATTAAATTCTCCCAAAATCTGTCAAGGGGATAGCTCTGGCATATTCTTCTTCATGGTCATGAGTTTTAGGTCAGCAGTTAGTTCTGTTGGTTTCGGTAAAATTTGTGGGGCCAGTATATAGTTTAATCTTGTTAAGTAATCCCAAGTACCTGGAAGGAAGATATCTTAAGGGTTAGCAATATTAGGGTAAAACATGACTTTACTCATTCATGCAGAATAGATGTCTGCTTGATCTGGTTGTCTGATAGACGGTTGCCTATTTATGTACAAAAATAAAATTTTATTTAAAAAAATTTGCCCCTTGGCAATCATAACCTCTGGAGATGAAAAAACATTCTTACTCGAAGAATTTGTACAGAGCAATCAACTTAAACTCTTTGCCTTTGAAACATTATTTAAACAATGGACAGGCAAAATTCTACATCCCCATTTACTTGGAAACGTTGTTTGCCCCTGGAAATCGTATTTCTCTTAATTTCTTCTTACATCTTCATTCAAAGCATTTTGTATCAGATCATTTCATGTCTGAATTAGGCCACACAGGCCACTCTCCATGCTTTCCTCATTTGCATGTTCAGTAACTCCTGAAATGCCACCTCTTCACTGATGCGCTAATTAAGAAGTAGAATTGTATAGAAGAAAGTTGCTCTCTACCTCGATTATCTTGTGTGACTGTCTCCAAGTGGCCATCTCACAGCTGTGCTATTCATCATCAAATAAATTATAAAATATCAGCATTGGAAGGGCCTGAAAGATCACCTAGTATTC